CAATACATTCCATGCAAGACTCTTCCTGTATGTGTGTAACTGCCCCCTATTCTGACATCCTGGAATTCCTGTACTGTAATATACATTCCTGCTGTCAATCCTGAATATTCCTATGGACATCCATTCCAATCCACTTTTTCCATTACTGTAAATATGTCTGACAGCATGCTTCCTGTGTTTTCCCAATGATGCTCTTTCAGCTGTACAAATGTGTAGCTTCCTTCTCGACAGTCAAATATGGGGATTAATAAGGGAGGAGGGGGGTTAGCTTTCATTGAAAAATATGAGCAAGTCCAGTACGTGTCATGGTACATCCCTGCAGGCGAGCGCTCCTCCTAGCCCTGGGTGCAGTGCCATGCTTACAGAGGGTTGAGTACATTCCATGGAGCCTGTGGTTTCTGTGGTGGACATAGGCTCCTGCTGTTGCTGGACATCGCACTGGTCGCTTCAACTTTCGTTGTTTGCTTGTCCCTGGAGCAGTCTGAGGGACAGGCCCGTTCCCTGGTCTGTTCACATCACCATTTGCACTTGTCTTCCAAAGATATTTCAAGGGCCCTGGGCTCTGTGTTTCGGTCTGTTAAACGATGTGGCAGGTGTGTTGTCTGTATTGTTTAATTAGAACTTTGGCCTTCCCAGTTTTGTCCGATACTGGTAACGCACGAATACCTGCTCTTTTTGCTTTCATTTTAGGTTGGTTTGCTCTTTTTCTTTTTTTAAAGCCAGGGGTCCAGATCGTACCTACTTCATTGGGGGCTGAGCCAGAAGCACTGGGTACCACCCCTTGAGTTTTGTGCAGGTTACGTCCACTGAGAGTGCTTTTAGAAATTGGCTGTTGCCGTCCTGTTTCTCCAAGAATGAGCAACAGCACCTGTAAGGTTGGCTGTCGGGGAATGAGATGCGCCACAACGTGAATCCCAGGAAAAAACTCCTTTGGCCTGAAATTCCAGTGGCCTGCATTATTACTTTGTCTGTAGGCACTGATGCTGTAGAGCTTAATGGCTGCCAGTGGAAATTTGACCTATTTTGTTCAGGCAGAAACAGACTTTTCAATGTTTGAGAGCACAAATTCAGCACCTTGCATCTGTCTAGGAAGTCGCGTGTCTTGAGATTATTGGGTCGGAGCCATTCCCCAAGCCGAAATTCTCCTTTTGCATTCGTGGAGGGTGGAGGATTCCACCCTCCACGCTACTTCTTTTTAACCAGTTCTCATTGTGCCTTCTTTCTTCCCTTGCACGCTGAGTTTATACCTGTTGTTTTGCATGCCTGCTTCGGGGCTTTTCCTGTTTGAGGATACAGGCACATCCATCGCAATAAACCCTCTTACCAGCGGCTGTACAAGATCCCCGGTGTGGTCAGTGTTCGCCCTGTATCTGACATTCGAGGTTTTGCCTCCCTCCTGTTGAATCTCTGACCAGAGCAAATTGGCGATGAGTGTGAGCAGGTTGGGTTTCCACGAGTCTTAACTGATGTAGGAGGGTCATCAAGTCACTTGATTTCCCTTGTAGTTGGCACTTTGCGGTCCACTGCGGACGGGTATGCACCTTCTGCTTGTAGGTGGTACTCGTGTCAGCAGGAACTATAAACTGTAGAACTAAATGTGTGTTTGTGTCTGTGATGTTTCAGTACATGTGGAAAATACAGAGCGAGTGCTGTCATTTGCAATAAAAACCATTTTGAATCGCTGCCGTTTTGTCGTTTCCACTTCTGATTCGAGGTCTGTAAACCGGAAGAGGTTACCAGCGGGAAGTGCTCATCAAAAGTATTCAGTTGCGAGTAGCTAAGATCTCCAGCCAGTCCTGAAAGGGAAGCAGGATACTGGGTTTGACAGCCTGTTTGGGGAATCTTCTTCCCGACTCCTGCTACCCTTTGTGGAGAGGAGGGCCTCCTGTTCTCCTGTTTTAAATAATCCTCCAGCCAGTCTCCATGTGTGCCCATTGAGAGGACTGGGGTCCTGGAGGATTTTGCTTACTTGAACGCAGCAGGCGTGTGCAGGGGTGTTGCATGGTCTGACAATGTAAGAACCACTGGGCCTGTGCCACGTGTGCTGTTTTAGAGTTTCTCTTCCTTGAGGTTTAAAAAAAAAAAAAACTGGGGCAAAGATTAGAGGAAACGAGGGGTTACAGTTTTATTTTGTGAGGATGATCACTGGCTACAACACATTTAAAATCAACAACAGCCTCTCAAAAAACAAATGAGTAATTCTTTTTCCTTTCTTCCCAAAATATAAAGGCAGAACGAAATGAAGAGTGCCTTTGCCCAGCTTGAAAAGGACATAGATGCGTCTGCTACCCTCTGCGCCTCCTGGCTTACGGAAGGGGAGGGCGGGGAGCCCTCAGACGGAGAGCAGGCCGTTGCTGGCGGACGCTCTGGGCTCGTCACGCTGCCCGTAGGGCGCCGCTGTGTCCCGGGCGGCGGCGTACTCGGCCACGTTGGGCAGGCCGGGCACCACGCAGCAGCTGAGGGCGCTGCGGAAGATGCCCATGTCGTGGGCGTCATACCACTCGTCCGTCCTCTCGTCGTAGCACTCGGCGTTGAAGGTGGTGGTGAAGCCGTTGAAGCCGCCCACCACGAAGAGCAGGTCGTCCACCACCTCGATGCCGAAGTTGCTGCGCGGGTTGAACATGGTGGGCACGGGCCGCCAGCTGTTGGTCAGCGGGTTGTAGGCCTCCGCGCTCCGCAGCCGGTTCGTCCCGTCAAACCCGCCAACCTATAGGGGTCAAAGGTCACGCTGTGTCTCGACTCCTCGGCTCATGGGAGTGTGAGCGGTGTGCAGGGGGCTGCCCCCTCCTAGGAGGAGCTGGATAGAGGGGCGACAGCTGCTCTTTTAATAGACTCTGATTGCAACAGAGGGTCTTAATATAGAATTAATACCTAACACATGACAACAGGCATTGTCGTGTCTTTAAATGCCTCTCGGTATATACGTGTTTATGCAACAAATATCACATAAGGGTGTGGATATGCATTATTAAATCTTGAACATTATTTTTGCCCATATTGATTTCCATTGGTTGATCACTCTGCTTTGAATAGTGTTACATCATTTTTTTTTATTAACAAAACTGTGTTGGCCTGAGTATCTGTAGGTATAGATGTATGGATCTTGCTTTTGAGCTGCAGGTTACCAATAAGGCACGGGGGAGCTTGCAAGCCTTGCTTAGAGCGTACGTTTGTGTTTATTCACGTGCCTGCATGCTGAGCCTTAATTCAGGCATAGGCAACCTTGGCACCTTGAATCCTTTTCGCTGGAACTTATTTCTCTTCCCCCAGCTGCGTTCGCCCTGCATGGCGATGAGTGCTGATTTCAGAGCTGTGCCCCGCCCTGCAGCTCGGGCCCGTATGCGCTTGAGCCGGTCCTCACCGC